AACAATTCACAGCCATTTCTGACTCATGGTGCTGATTTTTTAAAAATATTTCAAAAGTCATCCTAATTTACCAAGTTTGAAAGAAAAGCTCATCCTGATCACAAGTGTATATGGTTTAGGGTTAGGGGTTGCAGCACAAAAAAAAACTGATCTAGAAGCTAAAATCTGAAGGCCCACCATGCAATGTATTCTGGGTAATGCTGACAGAAATTTGTAAAGTCATTTCTAAAGTTCAGAATAGATTACCACATTTCTGGCACCTAGCAGAAATTCAGTCATTAGATTTGAAGTTGAGCTGTGATTTCTGTCTTAAAAATGGAGTTTGAAGAAAAATAAAATGAAATAAAAGAGATTTAAAAGAGCAAATTTTTAAAAACCAAATTCCAGCCTTCAGGGCAGCATTGGGATAAAACGCCTTCATCCAACAAATTCTCAGACATGACATATAGCTGAGCTGTGGCTAATGTGAAAAAAGAAGCTAAAACATTATTTATGGCCTACTGGGAAACATGTGCAATGAGTGCCTGCAATAAGCCTTTGCATTATTTCAAGTATTTGGATGACATTTAGGGTATAGGGTTAGAATTCAGAGGAGGACTAACCTTAGCAGAGAGAAAAAAAGCAGCTAAAGAAAGTAGATGAATGACTGACTGTGCGCGTTCATAAGATTGTGAGTTTAATGTTGTTCACACAATTCTGTTTCAGTTGAAATATGAGTGTATTTAGTTGATTTATTAGTTTATCTCACTGTTTTGTATTTAAATGAAGCTATGCATAAGCAGCAGTTGAATAACATAAAAATGTTATTACTGACGTGTTCATATGTCAGTTATCATGTGGTTAATGTGATGATATTGAGTTCATAAAATAAGACTAAGTTTAAATAGCTTAAATACATAAATGTTCATGAATAATTTTGATCAGTCTGTAATGTAGGATCAAGTTAGGCTGAAGCAGCAGTATGGAAGAAAAAATAAATACTATCACCTGTAGGTGGCCAGATCAAGAACTCATACAGTTATTAGAGATTAATTAAAAAAGAAATGTCTTTATATTTGATGGCCAATTTTTCTTACAAATTAAGGGCACAGAAATGGGCAAGAAATTTGCACCGGCCTATGCAAATTTTCAGGGCCAAGTGGAAGGCTGGAGCCCTTAGTACGTGCAGAAAGGCTCCTATGCACTACTACAGGTACCTGGATGACGTCTGGGGGGGTCTGGACTCATCCGGAAGCAAAACTTCAGGAATTCCTCCAGCACCTAAATGCACATAACCCATCCATCACAGTAAAGTCCACGACCAGCCTTAAAGCGGTCAATTTTCTGGACACCATAAAGGAGAAAAGTTTGACACAACACAAAAATTGGATATTCAAGTTTTTATCACATCTACAGAGACACAAATAAAACCAGCTACCATCCGAGACACACTTATGCTGGTCTTATCAAATTACATCTTGTTGAATAGAATTTAAGTTAGCACAATACTGCACAGGATAGTTTTGACACATATGAAATATAACATAGAAAGTTAAAGTACACTCCAGGTTCATATAAATTTAGATGAAACTAAAAACAACGGCTCAATCTCTGAAACGCAGATAAATTCTTAAAAGGAGGATCAGACAGAAAAAAACAGAAAACACAGGCCTAGACTCCTTGGATCTCTTTAGACAGGGAATCTGTCTGCCAGGCAATTAACAAATTCCTGAGCATGGTTCAAAAGTTCACTAGGATCTTAAAACTTTTTATAAATAATTTTATCTATATTAGAATTAACTATATTCTTTAAGTATGTTTTTAAATAGTTACTTATTAGATCCAAACTTATAGTCATTATTTAGCATTACATTTTGTGCAAGCTTGTTTAAAATACAAACTACTTTCTTGTGGAAACAGTTTGAGGCAGAGATAGCGCTGCAGCTGCAATCATATATCAAACTGGACAGCGGCTGGTACGAGAAGGGTAGGCCGTATATCTGCTTTTGGGGCTCTTTAGCAGGAGGTGGTGAAATTAACATTAAGACAGCCCACACAAAGGAAAAGAACACACCTCCTAATGCATATATTTAAATGAGGAGAATACGCATTCTAAATGATTTGTTTTACAGCAGAAGTTCGAATCGCTTGGTGCTGAGTGAGTGGTTCCCAAAAATGCATTTTTGAATCAGGTAATATTCTGTTTGTCATTGGGTGTTGGCTTCTTGATATATCTGGGTGTAAATGGTGTTCTGTTATTCTGTATGTATTTGTATTCACTTTTGGATAAAGTTATGGATATCTGAAATCTGACGTATGATTGCTCTTTTCTCTCTGCACACTTACACAGACACAGGAATTCGGGACAAAGAATTTATTAAACGAGCTAAATCAAGTTATTCCTCTTTTTAATTCTTAACAATCTCCTCAGATTCCACAGAATTAGCACAGAAAACAGACTATGAGGAGGCAACTAGGATTCTGTTTTCTGCTTTTTGTAAGGGTTAGGTGGGTGGGGTTAGGGTTTCATCACCTATTCATCACCTATTCACCGATTCATCACCTATGATCACTACATTCTCCTCCTCAGTAGAAAATTTTGTGTATAACATCAAATAGAATTTTAATAAATTCTGATCTGATACATCTGCTTCAAAATTATAGAATAATTGCGGCTTACAAAATAAATATAAACCTGAGGGATTTCTCATCCATGCTGAAGTAAGACCTTTAAATACACCAAAGGTCAAAGGTAAGGGTGGATTCTTCAAGCAGCTGCACTGGGTACAAAACAAATTTAACAACTGCCAAATCTGTAAGATCTATTATGTGGGTGAGGTGGGAAACAGCCTCCTTACCCGTTTCACTGAACATAGATATATAAAAAAATTTAAAAAACACACATGTACCCCTAGTGCAGCACTTCATACGCCATGGGTGGGATGCAGTTGTGGCTCTGGTGCTGGAATGCAACCCAGCCTGGTCCTCAGCCCAGAGGAGAAGGGCTGAAAGGCTGTGGATCCACAAGCTGGACACACGGATCCCCAGGGATCTAAATGAGAAGTAGCTCCATGTGGGGCTCCATGTGGGGACTCCCTGCAGGACATGCCCGTACACCTGGGGGAGGGCAGAGGGTGAGGGGGAGAAGAAAAGAGAAAGGGGTTCAAACTCTTGTATCCCTGACCCTTGACCTTGAACCCAAACCCCAATTCTAACCCCCTAACCCATGGAGAACCGGCTCCCAGCTCCGATCCTACCATTGTGGAGAATATAAGTTTGGTTAGCATAACTTTAGAGATAGTCAACCTTTGCGCATATGAAATATTAAATGTAGCATGAACATTTAGAGTAGATTCTAAGTTAGGTAAATTTAGATAAAGATCCAAACTAAAAAAACAGTTGACTCTCTGAACTCACATATATTACTAAGTCTGGATAAATTACATAAATTACTGTGTCTGGATACTCCCCTTCAGACGGGGGAGTATCCAGACACAGAGTGTCTTGTCTCTTTTCAGGAGTCCAATTCTTTAGTGTTTGTTCAAGACTTCAGTAAAACACTAAAACTTTAAGAAAAGTCTTCTACAAGTATAATGAAATGTATTAAGATAGTTCCTTTAAGCATTAACAGCATGTTCTGAACTAGTTAGTCTCTAATCATACTATTTGCATGCATTTTATATTACTGAAATACAATAGAATTAGGAAAACTATTTTACTTCTAAAATATTTCAGGTATTCTAAAAGAGCTTTTTTAAAAGTAGACAACCCTGAAGTTTTTAGAGCAAAACTCATAGTTATTATTTGGTATTGGATTTTTGTGCCAGTTTGTTTAAAATAGAAATCAGTTTCTTGTTGAATCACTGAGACAGGTCATAAATTCTGGTCTGGAATGTAAAAAGGAGGAGACTGGAACGGGACGACTCTAGTGGAGAATGACCTTTGTTCTCTCCATATATTTGGATTTTAACAGGTCTCAAGCAGGGTAATAAAATTAACATTAAACAGCCATACAAGGGGAGAACCCACCTTCTAATGGATATATTTAAATTAAGGGAATTCACATCCTCATAAAAAAGTCTGTTTTACAGCAGATCCTGAGAGCTGATAGCTGATATTCGATGAGTATGATTACCAGAGGTCACGAGGATGAATCCTATGCCCCCATTTAAATTGTACCTACCGGATCTTTGTTCAGTCTGGGAATGAATTGTCCAGAGGCATACATTGTCACGCACAAGCACGAATGGCTTTGTGAGCAAAACCAGAGGTAACTACAACATTCGAATCTATTGAAACTCCTCAGGGTATAGTACATACTATATATATATATATATATATATATATATATATATATATATATATATATATATATATATATATATATATAGTATGTAATACTCTTGATTATCTAACATATTGGCTTCACCAAAAACAATAGGCTGCAGTGAGCAGATTAGCAGATTTCTAAGGAATGTTTATTTGGGGGGGGGGGGTAACTGGACACTGGAAGGGGGGCGGGGGAAGTCATTGGGGTCATTAATCACTCATCAATCACTCCTCCGATTAAATTTTGACAGAAGGGTGTCTACATAGTTTTTTTGACATATGGGTGGATTTCATATCAGATATATGGCAGGATTCTAAGCACACAAACCTCTATTAAGAGACCCAACAAAACAAGTAAGACAATAACTCATAAATTGAACACTTTTCACACAATTAATAGCTATTATTTCTTTCTTTACAATTCAGCACCTTCATAAAACTCCCAAGCTTGCATATTTTACAACATATAAAATGAAACACAACATTCAAACCACATTTCTTATAGAAGGTACAGATGCACCAATGAGGAAGTATGTTATACTGCTGTGTGACAAAACAAACTTTGAACTAGCTTCCTCTTTCTTGGTAAACTGGACGCAACATATGTTTGTCTAAAAGCCTAAATTTTAAACAGCATGGTGCAACACCTGCTACCCTAGTCCTGCCCCACCGCTGCCTTTACAAAGCTGTTTGGTCCAAGAGTGTGTTTGACTTATTTCATCAAGATGAAGAAACTCGTTGTGTTTGCTGCTCTGCTTGTTGCTGTTCTCAGCAAGGGAGACTTCCATGGGTAAGTGAGCCAGAAAACCTTCTTCTGACCATTGACTACACTGAGTTAGGCAAAATACTTTTATTTTTGCTTAATTTTTTACCAGTGTGCAAGAAAGAAGGCACACAGAGCAAAGTCTGCTTTGTAATAATTATGAATGTGCACAATGTTGAAAACATTCAAGTAATAAGTAATATTGCTTCAAGATCAGAAATATACATTATTAAGCAAAACATCAGTGGTGTTATTTTAATTCTGTTTGCACCAAAAACAGAAGTTTAACTAATAATTTCAAGTAATTCAAAAGAAAATGCATTTTAAATTTTTAAGTGAAATATAATTGAGACATTTTTAAATCAGTGTGTTCTGGGTTGATTGGGCTACCACTGTTATTTCCACTTAAAATTGCCAAAAAATATGCATAGACATATCTAGTTGGAAGCACATTATTAGAACCTCATGACTCAGCATTCTGAAGGAGGTTTGATAATTAGCTTGGTCTGCTCCTGAAGAAATGTAGGCTACTCCAAAAACTCATCATGGGGGCCTACAGCCAACTCTTACTGCTGGTTATATTAAAGTCCATGTTTGCACAGTCAGAGACAGACAACTTGCTTTGTAGGAAAAACATGAAGCCAGAAAATAATCACAGAAGCTGTAGAAAAAGACTGGGTCTGGAATAATGTCCGTGGGATAGATGAGTCTAAAACAGAATGATTTTCATACAGAAACGGAGGACATGTTTGGTGGACATATTTACCCCTGACAGTAACCACATCAGTTGGTTACCATTTAAAAGTGTAAATAGTAACCAACTGATTTGCAAGAGAATAATTACTTGCAGGTGTACATCATGTATCCATATTATAGCTGGAAATAACCCAGTCTGTGGTCCAAGACAAAAAAGGCAGAATGACAAAACGGTGGTGCTATTTTTTCACCTCTTACCCTCGAGCTGCATTTCCATTCTATTTGTGTACTGTACTTTGTCAATATTCCGCTAATGTGAAGAAAACAAACTTTTTTGCGATTGCTATGTTTCTAAGTTTCTTGCCCACATGCCCACAGGAGATATCAGTAAAAGATTTTTATTGAAAAAACACAGATTAAGTGAGTAGAGAACAAAGGATTCCAGGGGAGGGCTCACGGTGAGGTCGGCACACTAAGGAGTAGCAGAAGAGATGGCAAGATCAGGGGTAATCGGAAATGGGAGATGTAAGACTAAATGAACTGAAACTACTTGAGAAAATTATGATCTCGGTCTGGGAGGGGAGACTGTGGGTTCGGGGTATAGGTTCACTATGTGAGTCTGATGAAGATCCAGGTTCCAGAAGCGGGGTTTGTTTGTGGAGGCTGTGGTGGAGGGTGGACAGGTAAGCTCAGACATAGAAGACGAAATGAGGAGCGGTCTGACAGTCAGGTGAATAATCCGGAAAAGATGAGGATGGGACTCGGGCAAGCAGTGGGTTTGATCCATGGTGTCACAAGGAAAGGAAATACAGAATGGGGTCTTCTCGAGGAGGAAACTCGGCGTCACAAAAAATACATGAAGAGGGGAAAACAACAAGAATAATTACTTAGAGAATCTCTCAGTGAATACACAGAGGAAGCTCGCTTTGGGGGCTCAAGAGTACCATGTAGACTAACACTCAGATGACAAAGTACTGGTAGTCGGCTCCTCTTAAGCTCCAGGACTGATGAGATGATTAAACACTGGTGCACTAAACCATGGCACATTCCTCCAGGGAAAAGCACCCTATGATGCCATCTGGTGAATAAGTGGTGAAGAAGCAGAAAAGCCAAAGAAAACCCAAAACCCTGATTCCCAACAAAACACAATTATAATCATGCATGAATACTTTTAAGTCAAGCGATTACCTCATCCTACCTGCAAAACCTTTTAAAAATTGGTGTTTTAATGAAGCAAACTTAATTTCAAAATGTCAAATTGAGTAATTAATATAATATGGTTGATGGAAACACAGCTTCTGTATTTCTTGCATCCTTGCTCAGTCATTTGGATAACTCCAGGCAGTTCATCATGCATTTGTCCTTCATATTAAAAAAAAAAACATCAGTTAATCATTGAGAAAATTGTATCTCAGTTTTCAAAGGTAGCTTTAATAAAGCCTGCACCATAATTTATGGAGGAAAAGTAAAAATGTTTTCCCAAAGCAAAATTTTCAGTTGTGATCTTGGGTGCTTGCAATTCACAAAGAAACAAAGATTAAAATGTTCATTTCATAAGTAATATTACTCTCTAAGAGTGGCACACAGTTTTTCAGGTAGTAGGGTTATGTTATTTCACTACCTTCATATTGGGCTTTTATTGCCATAAAAGGCCATAAAAGCCCAATGTCAGAGCAGCTTGGCACAGATAAATGTTTTTTTCAGTATCTAACATCTGCAAAAGCAGAGCCACACAAACTTACTTTTTCATGTGCTACCACCTCGATAAGTAACTTACTGGAATAATATCATTGTGTTTCTTTTGTAGGCATCAGGTTTTCCGGATTGTGCCGAAAGATGATGTCCAATTGGCCCTTGTCAGAGTTTTGGAAGACATATTGGATTTGGAGGTTATTTTGCAATTTAAACTATTCATTTGACAGTGGAAGTTAAAACAACACAGACTTATGCAGCATGTGAAACATCCGTGTGTTTTTACAGCTGGACTTCTGGAGACGGGTGACCCCTGTGGACATCAGAGTTCCCTCTCACAGCCTGCAGGTTGTCAAGAGTTACCTGGAGAATCACAGCATCAAGTACTTCACCATGATTAAAGACCTACAGGTGTGTTACAAAACTCAACAATATATAGTGTAGCCTTCTATAGGGTGAGGTTTGTGAAACCGCATTGGTGTTCCATCACACTCTTTGTTTCTGAGGCATCACTTAATCAGACAATGTTGCAGGCTTTGCTGGATGAGGAGCAGAGCCAAATGAAGTCCGCTGCTCTGGCTGGAAACACTGACAACTTTGACTACGCCAACTACCACACCCTCAGTGAGGTTAGTTTAAGTGTTAAAACACCTAGACAAAAATGTCTTCGTTATATGACAACTTGACATTAACCAAGACGTCATGATCTGACATAAGTTTGTTATAAAAGTATTACTGATTAAACTTTAAAAAATATGTAGCTTTATGTTATTAAAGCTAAAGTAGAATTAGTAATATTTTTATAACAAATTTATATCAGATCATAATTTTTTGGTTAATGCCAAATTACAAATACATTTTGAATAATGTCAACTTTGTATTAAAAGTGTCATGATTTACCGAATGATACTTTATAACAACAGTCATTAATATTCATGAAGACTTGTTCGTGTTTATTACAAGTGTTATGACATGTTTATGATGGTGTTATGCCAGTCTTCTTCACAACCCGTCAAATAAAGTGTTACCATAATGAGTTTAATTTTTTACATTCGGAAGCTCATTACCTTTCACATTCCCAGAAAAGCCAGTTTTAACATTTCTCTTACATTTGAAAAAATATGGTTTACTTTTTGGCATAGCTCCAGTTTTACTTGCCCTATTAACACAATTAAAACCTAATGTGTAGTTTATAATGTGCACTTCAAGCAAAAGTTGAAAGTGAGACTGGGGGAGGCGGAGTCTTGCTGCTGCAGCATCACAAATCAGACATGTTAAAAGATATGATGCCTCTGGACCCCCATGATTTAATGCATTGATACCACGAATGAAAAATCGCTACTTTCCGAGGGGGAAATGTGTTTTTATAAATATATAAATATTGTAGAATCGATATAATTATACATCCCTAGTTTTATGTCGCATAATAAAAATGGCACCAAAGATTCCAAAATTCAACTTCACAGTCAGGATGAATCTTTTTGACTTCCTTTCAGATCTACAGTTTCCAGGACATGCTAGTGGCTGAGAATCCAAAGTTGGTCAGCAAGACAGTGATCGGTCAGAGCTATGAGGGTCGTCTGCTTAATGTTCTCAAGGTAGAAGACGTTTCTGAAAATCTAGTCTCTTTCTAAACCAAACCATGACTTCAAATGGAAAAGGAAATCACACAACCAACCCATTTATCATTTGCACTTTGTTGTGCCTAAGTTCTTTCTCTTTCTTGTCTCTACAGTTCAGCACTGGTGGAAGCAACCGTCCTGCTATCTGGATCGACACTGGAATCCATGCCAGAGAATGGGTCACTCAGGCCAGTGGAATTGTGTTCGCCAAAAAGGTAGTTTGATACTTTACATTTTACACCTGTAAATGCTGTAATATTTATTTGTTGCTTTTTGTTTGCAGATTGTGACAGAATATGGAACAGACTCTGCTCTCACTGAAATCCTTAACAGAATGGATATTTTCTTAGAGATGGTGGTCAACCCTGATGGATACCACTTCACCCACACCAACGTGAGATGGGCACAGTTAAACATAAACCATAGGACACTGTTATTCTTAAAACAACTGAAAATATGCTTCTTTTTAGGAACTTTATCATTTCACTAACATGTGAGATCAGGTGCACATACGAGAACAACTAAAAAGAAAAAAGAAAAAACATTCGATTTGTTTCCAGAACCGAAGTGAAGAAGCAGGAAGCAGAATCGGGGCTCCAGGTGTGTCGGTGTGGACCTAAACCGGAACTGGAATGCTGGGTTTGGAGGTAGAACTTTCTGTCCATAAGGAAAATTTAAACAATCGACGATGAGCAAAACTAAAAAGTTAGTTGCTCCATAACAATATAACTATGGTTATAGTTTAGGTTTCAAACCTAAACTATAAAATTCAGCATAAGACATGGAAAAATGGTGGTCAGTAAATCAAATGAACTTTCATTTTAATTCTTATTTATTTTATGAGTTATTCTTCTAACTCTAAATCTGTGCAACACTTTGATCAACTTTAATGTTGTGTAGTGTCTTATCAATAAATTGGTGTGACATTCCTTTCGACCTTGTAAATTCCAGGATGCATTCATTTACTTAATCCAATTTAATCCACGTAAAATAATTATCTCAAACTCTTTGTCTTTCCTTTTTTTGTACTCTGATGCTTAAAACATTTAGGACACGGTTCTAGCAACAATCCATGCTCAGAGATCTATCGTGGAACCAGGGCTCATTCTGAGGCTGAAGTCAAGTCCATTGTAAACTTTGTGAGGTCACACGGCAATATCAAGGCCTTCATCTCCATCCATTCCTACTCACAGATGCTTTTGTTCCCCTACGGATACACCAGGAAACCTGCCAAAGACCAAGCTGAGCTGGTAGAAATATTCTGCTCCAGTCCTTTGCACAGAACTCTGTTATTCTTAATCAAACAAGAAACAAGAAAATTTAGAAGGTAAAATTTATATACCTTTGAAGCTCTTTTGTTTGGTAACTATGGTCAGTTTCATTCTGCAGGACCAAGTTGCTCAAAAGGCCGTCACTGCTCTGGCGTCCTTGTATGGCACCAGCTACAGATATGGCAGCATCATCACCACTATCTGTGAGTCCCCAAAGCATTTAGGCTCAGTAAACTTCATTGTGCATTTGCAAGAGATTATTTCCTCTTCAGCATGGTGTGCTGTTTGTAAAGTTACATCTTAAAAATTAACAGCACTTTCTAAGTTTGGGGAAACAAAGCAGGAGTTATTTTTCAAAGTCATATTTTCACTAAATATTTAAACTCAGAAGCTAAATTGTTAGTACGAAAATTTAGCTTTTAAATTAAATTTAGTTTACAGCTAAATACTTAATTAGCTGTAGATGTCTAATTCTAGACTAAATTTTTAAGTCTGCGTAAATATTTGGCTAGCGATCTAAATACTTAGTTACAAAGCTAAGTATTTAGTTTGTAAAAAAAAGTTTGGCTTGGAAATTAAATATTTAGTTTACAAAATAAATATTTAGCTCAGACTTAAACATTCAATTGGAAATTAAATACTTATTTTACAAACTAAATACTTAGCCTCCTAACTAAATATTTGAAGACAAAATAGAATTTGAAATACTTAATCAAAAGATTCAGCTTGTGAATTAAGTATTTAATTTGAGATTCTAGTTTTTACAAATATCTGGATAACATGTTGACTTTGAAAAACAAACACCCACATTTGTTCCTCTATGACTGGCTAACAAAACCAAAACAGTGCAGTAAAAAAATTTTCACTGTAATTTTACAAACAGATGTACACAACAATTCAGACTCACTTACAGCATAAAAGTACCTGTAGTGTTTTGGTGTATCAATATAACTAATATAACCTCTTCTTGTTAAGCTAGTTTTCAGCAACATAACTTAATTTGGGTATTCAGAGGAAATCAGACAACAATTGTGTAAAGTACCTTTGTTTTCACTGCAGATCAATCTAGTGGAGGCTCCATCGACTGGACCTACAACCAGGGAATCAAGTACTCCTACACCTTTGAACTGAGGGACACCGGCCACTATGGCTTCATCCTTCCTGCCAATCAAATTGTTCCCACTGCCAATGAGACGTGGCTCGCTCTGAAGGTCATTATGGATCACACCTTCAAGAACCCTTACTAAAAGAACAGAGTGAAAGCCTTGAGGCCTTTGATGTAGTTCTATTTGTAAACATAAAACAAAGAAAATAAAAATGCAAACAGGATTATTGTTGTTTATGTATGGAACAAGTACTGTGAAAGTGATTCTGCATTTTATATCTGGATTAGTTAAAAATATATAGACATGGATTTACATGTGTCATAATAAAAAAGTTGGTTTTCTATCACCTCAAGAACATTTCCAATATTGAAAGAGTGATGGCGCATAAAGATCTTGAGCAATTCATCCATCTGTTTATCTTCAGATAAAAAAGAGAACATTTATAAAGTGTACTTCTAATGCCGTCATAATACAAATTTGACCTCAAAATACTGATTATAGTAATATAGCATTCACCTTGGCCATTTAGCTTTTTTCAACACTTCACTTTTATCTAAGTTCTGATCAGATATATTTTCAATCTCTTTCATAGGACATATGTCCGCATCCTCACTTCTGGTCTAAGTTATAGATATTTCTGTAAATAATTGTATACATTGTTTAGTTTTATAACACTTTGAGATGACAGTTAACTTTAGCTAAGCTTGATTCCTAATAAACGAGACGAGCATCGACTACAAGATGTTTTCCCCAAGTAACATTTTTATGTATCAATTGACTATGTTATTTTATCATTCGAAGTGCCGTGATGGACCTCGGAAATGAGGATCTGGAGTGACTGAAGTGGTTTTCCCAGGTGGTTTTTGTTAGTTTATTCATGATTTCTTCTTGTTCGAGTCAAGCTAATAAGTCTTTGAGCATAATAGATGGCGGTATTTACAGAATCTTTAAACAGCTAGCTCAGAAATTGACCCGTACTTCTTCCCTCCTCACGTGTTGATAAAATTACTTTGCATAAATTCACACCACATGATTTATGTCACTATGTCACAGCGTCTCCCCTTAAACTGCAGCAACATTAAAAACGTACAGAAGATTAGATGCTAACCAGTTTTTTTCAATACCATAATGCAATATTTGATATCTGTCTTTTATTACTTACTTACAAAGTGTATAAACATTACCCTTCTTACCTTGTTAAAAGTGCTTGCTGCAAATCCGTGGATACACCCGGGGCTGTCAGTCAACCCTAACCCTGACTGCTACAAGCCTGCTGCTTGAAAAGGTAAAACAATCACTTGATAGGGGGCAAATCACCGGTGCAATTTTCCTTGACTTGAAAAAGGCTTTTGATACAGTGAATCAATTTACTGATCTCAAGGCTTTCATTTTATCATTTCTCAGAACGATCATTGTCTTGGTTTCAATCATATTGAAAGATCGTGAACAATATGTTGTCATTAATAAAAGTAAATATGTCTTCTGCAAAATAGCAGCAGGGATTCCTACACGGAACTATCCTAGGTCCGGTTTTAGTCTATATGTTAACAGTCTTCCTGAAATTTGTCCTGAAGTTAACCTGCAAATGTATGCTGATGATACCATTATTTACACATCGGACAAGAGTAGTATTGTAGTCAGTGAAAAACTTCAGAACAGCCTGCAGAGATTATCATCATGGCTAAATGATCCTTGCTTAACTCTCAATACAAAGAAAACAAAGTGTATTTGCTTTTCTATCAAGGAAGCATCATTACAGCCATTGAATATGCTGATTAATGGGAATCCTATTGAGCAAGTATCACAAGAAAAATATTTAGGAATAATTCTGGATGCCCAGTTAAATTTTAGGAGCCATGTTGATAAAATCAGCAAAACTATTAGATCAAATATAAACTGTTATAAAATTATTTTAAATTGTTTAACACTTCACTATACAGAGATGTTTCTGAACTCAATAATCCTCTCACATTTTTTTGTATGGAGCTTCTGTCTGGTCTATAAGTCAAACTATACTTAAACCATTAGCAAGTCTCTATAATCGGGCTTTAAAAGCTTATACTGCATCACAAGCTACAGAAAACATTTCATTGTGCAAAATGTGAATGTTTTAATATGAACAAACATTTATGTCTGAAAGGTGTAATGTCTCATTTCTCACCCTGGCTGAAGCAGGACTCTTACTTATAGCATGCATCTCATGAACAGCAATGTTTTCTTTTTTTTATTTTAATTGAGCAAATCACTTAAATTAAAAGCAAACGAATGAAAATTGCTGATGTAATTTGATTTTTTAATAAGCCATGCAACTTTCTATGATCCCAGATTTATGATAATTGTGCGTGGCCACGCCGTGTACACTGATGATGCTCACAGTGGTCCTCAGTGTGCCCAGGAAGCTTGTGTGTACGCCCAGACACATGAACAATTAGAGATTAGAGGGAACATTGCTTGAGACCTTGGAGAAGAGGAAAGAGAAAAGTTATGGCTTTTGAACATGAACTTTGCTCAACTAAAATATTGGTTTACAATCAGGGGGATCCGATAATTAGATGAAAGCAGTGTAAACTGAGAAATGGAATGAAAAAAATAATACTTTAAGGAAATGCCTGCTCAAGAATTGCTTAATGCTGCATGTTCATGAAAAAGGAACTTGAGAAACAGCTGCTGGTTATTGATCATATTACCCACATTGTCTTTTACAGCATAAGAGATGATGAAGATAACTCCTTTTTTTTGCTTGGAAATTATTCATATTTATGTCTAACTCACTACTGTCAGGCAGCCTGACGGTGATAGTGTACCAGCACCTCACATGATCACATGTCAGACTTTTCTTTACTAAGAGACTAAATGTGCTTCTGCTTGGTTGGGAAAACTGCACAATCATTTCCTGAAAAGCTGTTTTCTCAAACTCACTATTCAGTGACAAAAATGTCTAAAACAAATACAGAACGTCTGCTATTTAATGTGTAACTGGACATGCAGGTAGAAAAAAGAATTGCTTAAAAAACTGATAAAGATGTGAGAGAGAAAAGAAAAGTGGGAGTGTGTCTTTGCATTTGACACCTTGTCAGGACTATTTTAAAAACGCATACTATCTTGTGTGGACCAGATGCTTCTTGTGGGATGTAGCAGTTGGTGTTTGGGGTTATCAGCTAGGGTTATAGTGAATTCACACAAAACGCATTATGCACATCAAAAAATTTATCCTAAGCATGTGCACTTTGAATGCAGAGTGCTTGACTTTAAAAAAAATATATTTTATGGCTCTAGTAGGCTTTATTTGATTGTAAATTGACAAAAAAGTGGGTAATGAAAGAAGGGGGAAGACATGCAGCAAAGGTCACCAAGCTGGGAATCAAACCTGCGACAGCCTACTTATGTAACCCCTGTCCCACCACAGCACCCCAGACACTTGATATTTTGCTCTTGACCAGAGTGTCAAACTCCAGTCCTCGAGGGCAACTGTCCTGCAGTTTTTCAATGTGCCAGTCCTCAGACAGGGAAAAGGCTTCCAACACTCTCTACAAAGGGAGGAGTTGAAAGCGTTATGGCCACATTGGTTGGAAAACCTGTGTGTTACGCTCTCCAGCTGCCATTTCTTAAACAAATAAATGAAAAAATTGAACTCCTGACCAAAGCAAGAGAGTCTTTGTCTGTCCCTTTTGAGGAGATGCCATCAGCTGAACTACATGTCACCATCAATGTGTGTTTATCATCAGATGAAGAGTATGCAAAAAGGCAGGAACCAGTGATCATGGCTACTCAGTATTTGTACACTGATGGAAACTCATTTGCAGTAGCATCTGTGTTTCTGCCCACACAACAGCTATCCTTTACTGCCTTCCATGGGTCACACATGTATGTTGGTTTAAAGCTGATGACACACAATGGAGAGATACAGGCTAAAATGACATTCCTGTCACCTGCTCAGCAACTGTCTTACACAACACTTTTGCTCTCTCAACCTCATTTATTTATACTGATAGTCAATATGCATTTTCTACAGTTTTTCTTTTTGCTAAACAATGGCCACTAGTACAGGAAAACCTGTTACACATGCTACACTTTTGTTATCTCTGCTCCAAGCTATACTTTTGCCATCTATATTGGCCCTTCTCAAATGTGCTGCTTGTTAAATGCAAATTCGCTGCCAGAAGACCCTCTGTCTCCACAGGATCCCCAGGGGGTGGAACCAGGCGATTGGGCTTTCATCAAGGCCATTAAGAGACAGAGCTGAGCCAGCCCACGATGGGAGGGACCATTTCAAGTTCTGCTGACCACTCCCACTGCAGTCAAAGTCACTGAGAGACCATCTTGGATTCACCTCAGCCACTGTAAGTTGCAGAGAGTGTTGGAAGCCTAGGTAGGAGCAGTGGGAAAGTCCATCTACAAAGGGGTTTGGCTTTCTAGGGCCATTCGTCTCAAAGATGGTGAAGAAATCATCTAACCCCTGTTCTATAGAGTCCTAGGTAAATTCTGGCATCTCTGTAACCTAGAAAAAATGGGTTCTCCATGGAAATGGGGCCACTTTTGTGTTGTGGCTGCTGTGTGTGTGTGTGTGTTCTGTTTTTTCAGTTCAACCCCGCTGATTCATCTGGGGAAAAGGTGTGTCCACTTCATAGCTGTGAAGACCTGGCTAAGTCATCTTCCAGACGATCACCATGATAACATATGGCAGAGTTATGTGGAGATGTTGGCTAAAGAGAAGAACATGACTGACTGCTACGTCTGTTCGGTGATCCCAAAGTCAACCAAGAAACCTACACTGTATGTCAGTCCCATGAATAAGTCCCAGGCCACCCTGCTTCGCCTCCTGTTCTCTGCATTTTATGCCTGTGACTCCAGACAACACTTCAGATGGAACCATCGTGATGAACAGGGTGTGCTCAGGTGTGACACCTCTCTTCACCTCCAGTAATGTTACTGGATATCCATCGAGAATGAAGGCTGTTTTGAAACCAGGGATGAAGCATCCAGTTTGTATTCATTCTCCTCCAGGAAACTGGACTGTTCAGGTAGGCCATGTATTTGGATGCCAGCAAAACATTACTGATTTATTTCCTAACTCTGTTTGTCCATCCCGTGCTGAGATTTCTATTCCATGTTCCACTTGGAGACCTCAAGGGAATTATCCCACTGAGGGCGGCTGGTTCCTGTGTGGAGGACACAATATCTATCCCTCTCTACCTGTGAACTGGT